ACATCTATGCAGTGGTGGGCTGGTCCCGGCGACAGTGTGGCCTGGCAGCGGGTGGGAGGCACATGGACAGACACAACATACAGAATAGAATTGGATATTTATTAGTTGAGTTATGGAATGGGAAGGAAAAAGGGGAGAAGTGGGGGAAGAGAGGAGAGAGAGAGAGAGAGAGAGAGAGAGAGAGAGAGAGAGAGAGAGAGACAGAGAGAGAAAGAGAGAGAGAGAGAGAGAGAGAGAGAGAAAGGGAAGAGAAGGAAGAGGACAGAGAGAGAAGAAGGAGAGTGTGCAGGGTCAAAAACAAGAGAGAGAGAATCAAGATGGTGAGAGGAGGGGAGGGGCCACAGGGAGTGGGTGTGGCTTGTCTCTTAAAGTGTCGAACAATCATAACAAAGGTCACTCACTCAGATCTGGTGCTTGTCAACTAACCAAGAGTGGCCAGCCAGGGGGGCCCAGTGTTTTCCTCGACTTTCTTCTCCAGATCTTGGATTATAAGTATACATCATCATGCTTGGCTTTTTAAACTTGGATTTTGTTATTGAATTCTATTCTTTAAAGTTGGGTAGTGATCTCATTCCTGACTGAACTATCTTCCCAGGCCCTAAAACTGATGACTAATTATTCATTTCATCTGGCATACATCATAAAACATTTAACATATAAAGTGGCTCCTAAAGTTAATTGCATAGAAACTATTTTAATTTGTACTGACACTGTCCTTTAAATAGTTAATACATATAAAGAAAGTGGGCCATCTCCAAGACAGCAAAAGGGGCTTTGCAACCTCAGCTGCTGCTAGACGTAGTGTTTCAAACAGGGTTGCTTTTGGGTGAGCTCCCTCCACTTTTGGAACCAAAAGCAATAGTGAGATTTGCAGATCACTCAAGTTCTGGTTGGAGATTCCTGACTAGGACACAAGGAACAGAAATCAGGCCTGAAAAGGGACATACCCTGGCTTTTATCAGTGGAAAGTGCTGTCTGATCTTTGCCTTCATCATCCCTCAGGCAGGGCAGGGTGGGGTGGAGAGTGTGGGAGAGCTCTCACACTCAGTGGGCTAAGGGAGGTGGGCATAGAGAGATGAAAGCAAGTGAGTCTCCAAAGCTTCTTTTCTGAGTAGGAAACATGAGGTTTATTGCCCACAGACAAATCTTTGAATAGATGCGATGTTTTTTGTCTTGCTGTTTCTTTTCATCGGTGAGTGTCTGAAGAAGGCCAACACAGCTGTCTGTGTGAAGATGGTCTGTTTGTTTTAAGAGTGTGATATTTCCAAAGCTACTGGAACAGGGTTAGTTCAGAGGAACCCCAGCCTAAACCTGGAGCAGGACATAACCTAGCCCTCCCCATTGACTACTATCAGAATGTGTAATTGATTATGCACATGAACTTCTGAGGACTAGACAAAAGAGCTGAGGAGAGAGAGAGAGACTGGGCAAGGGTCTGATAACACCAATCTGACACCTGGATTGTGTTTCATATCCCAAATATGTGGGGTATGATGGAACCAAAATATGTCATAATGGCCAAGAACAGAAATGGAATGCATTGTGTGTGAATATCAGGGGTATTCTTAAGGGTGCATGACAACAAGTATGTATGAAGACGTGTCTGTGAAGGCCTGAGATCAACCTCTAGCTTACTCCTCAGGCATTCTCCACATGTTTGTTGAAGCATTGGCCTAGAACTTCTCAGTGAGCATGGCTGGATGGCTGTGTGCCACCTGGATATGTCTGTTCCCCCAGTGCTGAGATTATAAGCATAACAATACATATGGCTTTTTGCAGGGGTTCTAAGGATAAAACTCAGGCCCTTCTTCGTGCATGGCCAACTCTACTGGCTGAGCCATCTCCACAGCCCTGGAACATACTTTCAACAAAATCAGTTAAAACAGACCTGGAGTAAGGAGATTTTATTGGAACTATGCAAATAATTAAATCTACGAAGTAGCGGTTTATCTCTGCTGGTCAAGCCAGCTATCTTAATAAACCTCAGGTGCCTGTGGAGATCATTAAGTGAAGTGTTCTCCATGCTAGCATGAGGACTTGTGTTTCACCATCTATGACCCATATTTAAAGAGCTGGATATGATGATAATACTACTGTAACCTAGTCTTGAGAAAGTGGAGGCAGGTGGGTGTCACTGTCTCACTGACTAGCCAGCCTAGACTAAAGGCAAACTCCAGATTCTGCATCAGAAAAATAACATAGAGAGTATGTGATGAAGTCATCCAATGGCAATTACCTGCATATGTGCACACACACACACACACACACACACACACACACACACACACATACAGGCACATACACCACACATACACAAAGAATCAGCTTGAAAGTGTGGTTTGCATGTGACCCACATCATCACTTTCTGGCAGCTAATTAGCATCTAGTGGAAATGAATTCTTAGGTTTCACCTGACATCGGGAGTCAGAATTTCTCTTATTAAAGCAGAAGAGCCTAGCAATCTGTACTTTTACAGATTTTCAGAATACTTTAATATGCTCTTAAAGCTGAGAGCCTTGATTTAGATCCTCTTCATACATAAGTTTATACCATTTAGCCTGAATTTTAAGGAAATGAGAGAAGAGACCCAGTGAGACGAGGAGTCCTTTGAGCAGTGACAATGGGCCTAAGATAGATGACGACATCCATATCCAAGTGGCTTCTCAGCCTGCTGCTTCTCAGCTGTCTCCAACATTGCGCTCCAGCGAGGACCAAGAGTATCAGGAGCCTCAGCAGCATGAGCAGGTTAGCAAAATGTGACTTTAACAAGGACATCGGGGCTAGCAAGGGGATTGAAGGCCGGCAAGGTAATGGCTTGGAGGTCAATGACATTTAGCTCCAAGCCTGTGAACCTAAGTTCTATCCCAGAACCTGTGTGACAGAAGGAGAGAAACAAGGCTCACAAATTGTGCTCTGACCTGTACATGTGCACTAGGGAGTGCACACCCCTGCCCAACACAAAATAAATATATGCATGTGGAGATTTCTATATTCTATATACTATGTGAAGACTGGTTTTGTGGACTTGTGGGTGCTGAGCCCAAAGTTGAGCTTTTCAGCCATGGTAACCCTTACAGACTGACCCAGAAGTCATTTGGATTCTGGTAGCTTGGGTTGTACTAGAGCATTAACACACCTGTGTGCCTATTAACACACTTGAGTGCCTATTAGCACACCCATGTACTTGTTAACATATCCCTGTGCTTGTTAACACACCCGTGCTCCTGTTTACATATCTGTGAGCCTGTTAACATACCTTTGTGCCTATTAACACACTCCTGTGCCTTTAACACACCCATGTGCCTGTTAACATACCTGTGTGCCTGTTAAAACACTTGTGTGCCTGTTAACATGCCTATGTGCCTATTAACATGTGCCTGTGCCTGTAAACACACTCATGTGCCTGTAAACATACTCATGTGTCTGTTAACACACCCCTGTGCCTATCGACATACCTGTGTGCCTGTTAACAGACCCATGTGCCTATTAGTATACCACAGTGTCGGTTAACACACCCATGTGCCTGGATGGCTCTACGATGTGGTTCGCTGGGTTTATCATATGTCTGGTACTGTCTCCAGTCTTGCAGACAAGGTCGCTTATTTTAACCTAATCTCAAGCTTGTTTGTTTAGACTGGCTGATGGTTGAGCCCCAGGGCTCTTCCTTTCTCTGCCTCTCTGGCACTAGTATTGCAAGTGTGAAACACCAAGCCTGGGCCATTTTACCTGATCAAATTCTGAACCTCATGTTTGCAAGGCCAGCAAGGCCAAGGACAGAGCCAGCTCCCCAGTCCTGCACTAGTGGACAACAGGGGCACACTTTATATACCACTCTAGAAGGCTTGCTCTTGGTGTTGCAAAGGACTGAGATCCATCTCAGTGCCTGTCTACAGAAACAAGAACTCATCCAGTCTGGTAGTATTCTCCACTGAGATCTGAAAGATGGCATCTGTGCAAGAGTCTGATCCTTGAAAAGTGGGGTATAGAGATCCTTTGCCATCCTCCATCTCTGAACAGGAAGTCATCAAGGTCTCCCACGTCATCAATAACTAAGGCAGCAGAAACCACAGGATTGTTGCCTCTCCCGAGCCCGAGTTGAAGCAGAATAGCATGATGGAGGAGATCCTCGAAAGGGTTATGCGTGTGGAGGCTGGAGAATTGCTTTTCCATCTGCAAGTCCTGAGCCTGCTGAGTCAGCTGCTGCATCCTGCTTTTGACAAAGCCTATGAGGCCTTGATGAGGTCACTTTCAGATCAGCAACTCCTCAGATCCTGACTCCTAGGGAGCACTTAGGGCATCAGTCAAGACCCTGGTCTGGCTTCAGGCAGAACACCCTTCCCAGTTTCCCTTGCAGCAGTCCCCAGACCCAGGGAAAGGCACTTATGGGCACGTCTCTTTCTAACTCTTGATGGTGATCTCATGGACCCCACGGCATAAGGATTGAAAAGCTGGCATGAGTTGTACTCTGACTTTCACATATACTATGTGCTGTGCACCTGTCTCCCCTTCTACAAAATATTTCAATAAACATATATGTAATGAAAAAGGAACTAGATAGAAATGTGGATGCAGAACTCAAGGATCAGGAACTTTCGTGTAGGCAGGCTAGCAACAGCTTTGGGTACACTGAGTAATCTGTATTTGGAGAACTCTGGTAGACTGAAGTACATACACATGGGCATGAGATAGTGATTGAAGTAGAGGCAAAATTGGTCTCCAAGGGAGTCCATGACTGAGGTTACAAACAGGGTAATTAGTAATAATGGACTTGAGTTACTGGGGGAGGCGAGGTAGCTATTGTAATGGAAGGAATGAAGAAGAGCCACAGACAGAACTAAAAGGCCTGGGAAAGGCAGGAGGTGGAGCGGAAGGCTTCCTTTCCACTTTTACATCTTGTTTTTCTCTGATCAGTGGAAATTACATAGCAAGGGCTAATTTATTCACTGTTGGCAAAGCAGTTAGCAAGGTTGTAATTTTGCTCTGAATAAGATATTGTACACTTATTATTTCATGTATTTAATAGAGCTTGAAATTAGCACCACCACCAGAGCGAGACTCATCGATGTTCCCTCCAGCCCCTGGTGGGAAATGTCCTCTGGACAGGCACAGGAGTGGCCTGCTGCTCTTCAGTCCACTGTGACGCTTCCATGCTAGCTCTAGGACAGACTCAGAAGCACTGAGTTTTGAAGATCATTATTGTTGTTAATAGCCTTGCGTGCCAAGTTCTGTGATGCTCAGTTTTCAGTTTAGGAGTTTACTTTGCTGGTGAGTGAAGTTTGTTCAGGAAAGCAAGCATGTCTGATGGCCTAGCTCAGCATCAAGCAAAGGAAATGAAACTCTCAAACCAGAACTCTCTGTGCTCCAATATTGTAAGCCTGGAAACAGGACCCTGTTAACCTGAAGAGAAAAAGTAAGGCATTTAAAAGTATCAACTACTGGTCTTCAGCTCTCTAAGGATTGGTCTTCATCTAGAGAAGTGTTGTGATTTCTGTGAGAGTCTCTGCTCCTCTGCACAGATTGAGAGAGATGAAACTTAATGCAATACTTAGGTCTTGGAGTTGAACATGGTAAGGACAAGAAGAGTCAGGGGTGCTGGGGAGATATCTTAGTGTGTTAAGCAATGGTCATGCAATCATGAGGATCTAAGTTCAATCCCCAGTAATGAACTGAAATGCCATACATAGCAGTTTGAGCCTGCAATTCCAGTACCAGGGAGGTAGAATCAGGCTGATTCCAGGGAGTTACTGGCAAAGCAGTTCAATTGAATTGATGAGCTTCGTGAGCTATCCTGCCTCATAAAGTAATGTGAAGAAAGCAGTCAAGAAAGATAACCAGTTTCAACATTTGGCCTCCTCATGCATAATATACACGCACACCCATAATATATATGCACAGACACATACACTAGAACACACACATGCACACACACACACATACACACACACACACACACACACAGAGAGAGAGAGAGAGAGAGAGAGAGAGAGAGAGAGAGAAAGAGAGAGAGAGAGAGAGAGAGAGAGGAGGAAGTTTAGTAATAACTGAACTAAAAATAAAAATAAAAACTAAAAATATTCATCCTGAGTATTTTTGGTAGTTTGTCCAGCATTTCTCATTTTGTAAGAGGTGACGGTAGGAAAGAAGAGGCAATGCAATGTGGTAGCAATGTGGAATAGAGGGGTAGCAAAATGGCTTACCCTCAAGACTGAAGATCTGAGTTCAGTCCCCTGGACTTGTGTAGGTAGAGATAGAACCAACTCCACAAAGTTTCACCTGACCTCCATATGTGTACCGTGGCATGGGCATGTCACAAAACAAATTGCTCTGGGTTAGTTCTTAGGACTCTAGGATTTGACTCCAGCTCTTTGATAGCAGCCCCAGGTTCTGTTTTGATTTTGGGGTGCTGAAGAGAGTTTTGCTTTACCTTGATTTCTTCCCTTCTCCTTCTTATTCTTAAGTGGACTTCTCACATGCATCTGAAAGTCTGGCCGTATTCTTTATTCTAACCACACTTGGATTCCTTTATGATGTTCTCCCTTGACAACAAATTGCAGCAAGAAGCTTTGGTGATGTCACTCTATCTGTCATTGAACACTTGGTGGCATCTTGTGCAGAATCCATAGCAAATACCTTGATAAGTAATTAACAGCACAATGCATCACGAGCAGCAGCGCCCTCACAGAAAGTACCCCAGAAACAGCTACTGCAAAGAGAAAGCTCACTGAGAATTAACCAACCATGCTGCTTTCATGCGAACTTCTGAGTGTGCAAGCCAGGAGGTCTCTGATTCCTGTGTCTTCCCATGGCCTCTTTTCCTTCTGTTGGTTGTCCTGTCAAACTTTGCTATGATTGTTTTTGTTTTATCTTATTGCATTTTATTTTGTTGTATTTTACTATTATCTTTTAGAAGCCTCTTCTTTTCTAATAAGAGACAGAAAGGGAGTGGACCCAGATGGGAGGGAAGATGGGGAGAATCTGGGAGGAATAGAGAAAGCGGAAATTGTGATCAGGTATTTTATGTGAGAAAAGAATCTATTTTCAATAAAAGAAAAATTTTAATTGCTAAATTTACTTAATTGGCTTCAAAGAACCTTCCATATAAAATTCATAGTAGATGATTACAATTACAATATAAATATGCTATACGGTTATTTTATTTAGTGTTTTATTTTATATACTTATGCATTCACATTTATTTTTGAAATAGGGTCTTGATATATGTCTCAGACTGGGCTAGAACTCAAAATCCTCCCTGCAGCCCCCTAAGAACTAGGATAATGGGGTTGCACCATCATGTCCAGCTGTCAAACAGCAAAGCATTGTTAAAAAGTATTTTAGCAGTATGGTACATTAAATTCCTTTAGCTTTGTTCAGTTTGTTTGATGATGCCACCCCCTATCTACTTAATGTACATGTATCTATTGTTTTCAGAATCCAGAGAACCTAAATGCCAGAAATCAAGAGCCAAGTGCCAGGAATATGGTATAATTTTGTCTAACAAAATGTGAGTAAACTATTTTTAATCATTCCAAATGTTCACTAATTTGCATAAAGGAATAATCAAGCTAGCTAAGTAAGTAGAATTATGGGCAGTGTTGGAAGATTTACTAAATATAAACAAGTACCATCTACGTACATTTAATTCTTATGTAAGTAATATCATTGTCTGTGTATCAAATATGCTTATTTAGGTCAGATATCTTAGGAGATAAAGACCTTAGCTGTGAAAACCTAAGTTTGATCCCAGAACTTATATGGTAGAAATAAAGAACTGATTCCACAAACTTGTCCTACATTGCACTGTACTTCAAACATAGAGACAGAGAGAAGAATTTAATAAAAAGAAATATACTTTTTAGTATATTTATTAGTGTATTAACTATATTATTATAATTCTTATACATATACTGTATTAATAAACTAAATGTATTATTTATTACATATAATTTAGAAGGGGAGAAAAAGGACTGGTACATTAATGAGTATGAAATCACAGATATATATGAACATATCTTTTTTAATTTTATTAAATTTTTATTTAATATATGACATAAAATTTTCTTAATAAAGCTATATTCTATTAAGGATTTCTGTTAAGCAGGTTTTGAGCTGTCTGCATCTCACAAAGGCTGTAATTAGGTAAGTATGTAGTTATGTATAGGAATATTAGTCAGCTTCACCATAGCAACCGCTTTATTATCAGTGTGTGTTCAATAACATCATGTTCTAAACTTCCAATACTCACAATAAGGTTGGTTTCTTAAGTAAAAATGAGGAATATAATTATCCAGGAACTGAGCTTGCTGTTTCTCTAGAGTTGATACACATAGCCGGGTTCCTATATTTTGCCTAGGAACCCTGGTCTGAGGTCCTCATAGTGACATTCTTTATTCTTTATTCCAGCTTGACAGAACTGCAGTAAACTGAGGCCACTAACACAGTGCACACATATGAGTTTTTGAGAAGCTTAAACAAAAATCAGAAAGGATTTTTTGTTCTCATCAGATACATTATCTGCTCAGAGAGCAATGTGTTTCTCATTTTAGCCTGATAGTCAGAGAGATTAGAGTGTAGCAATATTTTAATATCATATTTCACGCAAGAATTTTAAAGTACTTCATAAGTTATTACAGTATGAATGTGTTTGTGACCCCCACAAAGTAGCCAGCGGCCATGTATTATTTATAATCACTTTATGCAGGGAGAAACTGAGATAGAGAAAAATTTAGTGGTTTGATAAAGGTCATGGGATGAATCACTAGTCATTCTCGGGATGAAAACACAGAGTTGGGGAGCCTGGATTGCTGCATGCACCGACAGTGCGGGCCTTCTTGGCAGGATCTCGGCAGGGATAAAATTCAGTCCTGCTTTTAGAACAAGAGCCATAAGAATTTCAAGAAGATACGATGATTACTACTGGCTTTTCGTTAGTTAATACATTTATCTGTTTACGGTGTGTGTGTGTTCATGCACACGCATGTGAATGTGTGGGGGTGTTGGTGTTGTGTATGGAAGTCGAGGTATCCATGGAGCATCTTTCTCAATTGCTCTCCAGGATGGCTCACTTGAATCCCTCCAGTTTGACTTCCCTGGCGGTCTGACTTGCCCTTGAGCCCTGAGATTGTTAAGTGGGTTACCAGGCCATGCCTGAAGTTTACATATGTTCTGGGAAGCCAAATTCCTAGCCCTTGTACTTGTATGACAAATGGCTTTACTCAGTAAGCCTTGTCTCCCTAGACTCCCCTGATGTTTACCTCCTTTCCACCACACTCAGTGTGGTGAGTTTCCTTAAAGCAAACATTTCTTTGACTGTTGGATGGGGCACACAGAGAATTGGGGTCCCGTACCCATTCTCCTTTGGTGAACTGGATTACTTCAGGAGGCTAAGAAAAGCTGGGAATATGTAGATGTTTGAACTCATGTTCGTTTAAATTGGAAACTGTCATTTCCCAAGGGGATGTTGATTAATCCTCCAGTCTCCCAGCCTCAGAGTCCTTGGCTCAGTCCTACAAACATTTATATAAATGTTGACATGTCACACTATTATAAATGCTATCCATAAAGCTTCCAGATGGTTCTCGTGTCAGTTTTAAATAAGCAAGCTAGCATCTAATGATTTTATGCTTTATTTTTTCTTACCTCAGTTTTATGTTTAAATCATATTTTCATTATTTATTTACATTAAAGTGGTGGTGGGCAGAGAGAGAGAGAGAGAGCAAATATGCTATACTATATAATCCTTTATGTGGTGGTCTGAGGACAACATGTAATAGCTGGTTCTCTCCTTCTAGCACATGGGTCTTAGCACCCCAACTCTGACGGTCAGGTGGCCGGTGGCAGGTGCTTTTACATGCTGAGCTGTCTCTCCAGGCTCTTTATTCTCATCGGCTCATACGATGATGAGATTAGCAATAGCAAGTCTCAGAAGTCCTATCTGGCTTTGAATCAAGACAATTTGATAGATTGTAAGCTTTGACAAAACCCAACAAACACCACCTTAGAGTCCTTCCCAGGTTTCTAAGCTGCACCTTGAAAAGGCTTTAATTTGAGACCCTACCTCAGGTAACACGGCTGCTACAGTTTATCTTTGAGTAGGGTCCAGGTAACATGAACATGTATACACACGTGCACCTTCCCACAGTTAACAATTTGTTTATATGATGGGATATAATTTCTCTCTCTAGAAGGCACTCATGTCAAAGTAGTGGCATTCAAGATACTGCTATGCACAGGCACCTCTGACTAACACCATCTTTGCTGCACACTGACTGACATGGGAATGACCTTGGGACTGGTTAATTCACTTGACCTTGAATAGGATTGTTGAATTTTCTGCACCTCAATCACTTTATATGCAAAATAAGTGTAATGAGAACTAACTTAAATGCTGATTATGAATTAAATGGCATAGCATTCATATCATTTATTTCATGAATTATATGGTATGATGTTCTCCACAATAACGTTCCACTTTAATTAAGTGTTTCAACAAATTAAGGCTGGAAATCTTGCCCGGTGTGTGATCATTTTCAGGGAGGGTTTTGGAGTGAACTATATTATCAAATTAGATAGAATATATCTCTAAAAGATTCATTGAAATATTTATTAGAATAGTCTCAATCATAATCCTTTTTGCCTTTTCTTATGAAGTTATAAAGAAGAGTGCTTTCCTTAGGTTAATTAACAGGTTTTAGTCTCTGCATAAAAGCTTAACCCATGGAAATACATTCCGTGGTACTTTGAATGATAATGCCTCTCAATAGGCTCATACATTTGACTACTTGGACCTCCAATTATAGAACTGTTTGGAAAGGATTAGGGAATGTGGCCTTGCTGGAGTTGGTGACTGACTGAGAGTAGGCTTTGAGGTTTCAACAGATCGGTGTCATTTCCAGTGTGCTCTCTGCCTCCTACTTCCAGGTGGAGATATGAGCTGTAGTTCTTCCAGGTGCCTTGCCTTTGTCTCCACTCTCAGAGACTCAGACCCTCTGAAATACTAAGCCCAATTAAATGCTCTCTTTTAATTTTTACTTTGTTTGCTTTCTTTTCTCTTTTTTTGTTTTTCATTTTGTTTTGTTCGAGACAGGACTTCTCTGTGTAGCTTTGGAGCCTGTCCTGGAACTCACTCTGTACACTAAGCTGGCCTTAAACTCACAGAGATCCACCTGCCTCTGCCTCCCAAGTGTTGAAATTAAAGGCCTGCACCACCACTACCTAGCAAATGCTTTCTTTTTAAGTTACCTCTTCATGGTGTTTTATCATATAAATATGAAAGTAACTAAGATAAATATGTGCTTATTAGATAAAGTATAATTTTATTCTTCTATCACCAGTTCATTAAACACTCTCCCATGATCTGAATTATCTTTTCAATTTATAGCGTTACACAAAAATGAGGAAACATGTACAAAATTGTTAGTAGAGGACAGTAGAGATGGCTCAACTCTTAAGAGAACTGGCTGCTGTTGCAGAGACACAAGTTCAGTTCCCAACACCTACCTGGTGGC